GGAGAAGCATCTACTAGCCAGGCAAAACTGGGGAAGGTTAGAGGTTTGGCTGACTATTGGAAACAAGTGGATTCGTTTAAAATCTTGTACTACATATCATAAATTTTTAAATGTGGAAAATATTAATCTACATTCTAGATATTGTTCTTAATTTTATTAATTGGAGATGTGCAACGTGTATTGAGTTCATTTTTTTTTTTTAATAAAGAAGATTGTAATTTAAAGATAAAAAAATATTATAAATTTTTAATTTTTAATTTATTAAATATTATTTTTTAAGAATACTTTTAAAATCAATTTATTTAAAATTTAAATTTTACGTATTTTTATCTTTTTTAACAACTTTATTATGAGAAATAATTTAGTTAAATAGTTTGAGTTGTTAGATTTTAAAAACCTTTTATTGACATTATCATTATAGTTAGAGATAAGTTTTGTGATTGAAATTCAAAGAAATATTGTCAACCTTAATGTGAAAAAAATGTGGTTAACATGAAACTTTTGGAGTAGTTTTTAATTTTTATAATAAATTAAAGTTGTTCGTTTTATTGATTTAGTTAATTTCAAAATAAATTATCCAAAATCAAACTAATCGAATTATGTTACAAGAAAATAGAAATTTAGTAACTATCAAAATCATTGTTAAATATGTATTTATCATTATTAAAATTATTTTGAAATAATTTTTTGTCGTTGTAAGATCATTACTATTAATCTCGTTATTTAAAAATTAACTCAACAACTTATAGTGTCGTTGAAAAAAAATAGATATTGCAAAGACTTTTAGTTATTGTCATATAAATCATATATTCACAACTAAAAAAGTCATAAAATTTATCTGAGCAACAATAGATTTTAGTTATAAAAAATTTTATATAACATTGTTATTATAGTTGCAATAAAATTTTCATAACACTATGTTTTTTGTTGCCAAATTTTTTATATAATAAAAAATATATAATTGCTAAAAATTATTTTACAATAACAAAATAATGTTATATAAACTTTATTTTAGCAACCATATAATTTGTTTACAAAAACTGTTACGTGACAATATTATTTTGGTTACATAAAGTATTTTGTGATGACTACACATCGATGTTTTAACCTTTTTCAATAACCATAAAATTTGATTGCAAAAACTCTTACATAACAATATTATTGTGGTTCCTTTATGATATTTTACAATATAATCTTATTTAGTTGCCAATTACTTTTAACATCATGATTTTTATCATTATAATAAATAATTTTAATAGTTATAATCATTAAAAAATGTTTTACATATCAACTATTATCATTGGTAAAATTATTTTTGTAATGAATTTTTTTAATATTAACAGCAAGTTTTATCATTGTAAAAGTTTTAACACAACCAAATTTATTAATTGTGGCAATAACTGGTATTCTTACAAAAATATTTTATAAAATTTCATTATATTTTTGTAACAAATTTATTGTTGTCAATTATAAAATCATTTTATTTATTATTTTATTCATAAATATAATAAAAAATATGTTTTAAATATATACTAATATTGTATTCTTTATTGTAATAAATATTAATCATAACATTTTATTTAAATATAATAATTGGTAAAAAATTAAAATTAATAATAATATAAAAATATATTTTATCATGAATTACAATACATAATAATTACTTGATCTTCTCAATAAATCCTAACTAACTTATAAAAAGAAAATCTAATCAAGACTTTTAGATAATGTATATAAAAAAAGGAAAACGAAAAAAACAAAATGTTCCTACAAACAAGCATGTAATATATTATTTAAATATTAGTAGTCCATCTTTTAAGTGAATTTGTTTCCGGCTCTTAATCTGTTCAGAAACTTACCAACTCTGCACATTTAGTTCACATCCACATTTTGAAAGCTTCTGCATAATTTTTTATATATGCAAAAGAATTCTTAAATACTAAAGGATAGAAATATTACCTTTTATATAAATCACTTTAAAAAAATTTGCATATACTGACACTCACTTATATTGATAATCAAATTATGAAAGTAAAAAAAATCTATGCTAACGAATTTTTGTTATTATCAATATAAACAATACCTATAATAACACTATATTATTTCGTTAGTATATATTAATTTTTTTTTTGACAATATATAATATCCGTCAGTAAATGTATTTATATATTGATGGATTGAATTATAGCTATCGGTGTAAGTTTTAATTAATAAAAGTTATCCATAAATAAACGATATTTATATCAATTAAAAAAATTAATTGTCAGTATAACCATAAGATATACTAACGATTGTATCTAATAAAAAAAAAAACTTTTGTTAGCCTTGGCTGCTCCTCTTCAAACCCTTGGCCACTTGCCCGGGTTCTTCTTTTCCCCTTCAAGTATCTTCAACGTTTTGTTGTTGTTACAAATGTTATAAAATTTTTCATAACAACATTTTTTGTTGTTGTATAAAATATTAAAATAACTTAAGTAACAATTTTAAAAATCATTACAAATAATAAAAAAAAAGTTTTCATAATAACTTTCTGTTGTCGTTACAAATATAATAAAATTTTTTATAATAATTTTCTTTATCATTGTATAAAATATTAAAAAATAACTTAAGCAATGACATTGAAAAATTATTGTAAATAAAACAAGTTTTTACATTAACTTTTGATTAACGTTATAAATAGTAGATGAATTTACAATGATAAAATTTATCATTGTATAAAATATTAAAAAATTCAATTAAGCGACGATTATAAAAAGTCATTGTAAATATACCAATATTTCATAATGATATTTTTATCGTTGTAAAATAAAGTTGCTAAATATCAATTTTCTAGTAGTGTATGCTATTTCATTTTCATTAACCGAATGGAATATATTAATTTTTAAAATTAACTGACTAAATTAAATTTGAGTGATTCAGTTAATTTTTTTAATTAATTAAACAATAAATATATTTAATTTAAAATATATTTTAAACACTTAATTTTTCATATTTGAAAGAAATTAAATAAAATCATTCAACAAAATATTCAAATACCAAAAGTATTAAGTTAAAAATTCTAACAATTTCTAAACTAAAATGATTTATTTAATGTATTTTTAGTTTTATAACAATTCCTAAAATAAAATTATTTATTTAATGTATTTTTAGTTTTATATTTGAGTTTTATTATATTTCGATTAAAATTTAAGTTAATTTAATTTTTAAATCGAATTAATAAAAAATTAAAAAAATTTTAAAATCATTTTTGATAATTGATCAAAGTTAATTTAATAATTGACTGATTCAAATTAAATCAATTCAATTAATTAATTTAATTAAAACTAAAATTTAAACACCCTGTGCTAAGCTCACATGAAATGATAAGGTTTTATAATATACTAACCCGGTAAAAAAAATATATGCTTCGGTCCTAAGGTACTTTTTTATTTAGGGGTATACATGTGTAATTCTTCTCATAAATGACAACCTACTAGTTAGCTAATGCCCTTTTTCTTTTATTTTACCTTTATATTTGGATTTTGATAGAAAAATAATGAGAGTGAATTTGTTTTGTAGGAAGAAAATGAAATAGATTTTTGACATTTTGTAATTTATATTTCAATGTAAGAATTATAGTAATAAAATGGAAAGATTTTTGTCTTTCCTATATCATAAAATTCAATACTTATATAAATAAAAGATAAATCAGGACTAACATTATTTATTACTCTACTATTAAAATAAATAAATAATAATATTCAAAACTTTGTACTTTCACTCAAAACAATTTCAAAAAAATAATTGTTGTAATAGTTTTTTATATTTTCTTTTACTTTTCACTTGCCTGTTTTCTATCTTTCCTAGCAAATTTATGATATTAAATTAAAAAAAAAATCAATATTGAAAAACCTTGTAAAGTAGTTGAATAATAAAACTATTATTATTAAGTATTGCATTTATTCACATTTATAGTCAATTAGTCATAGACTCTATTATCACATTAAGTAATTGCCTTGTTGCTATAAATTACTAGCTACTAGAATTCAATTTTTTTTGTATTGAAAATAAGAGATTTGAACTTAACAATTTGAGTAAAAAGTCATGTATCATTGAATGAAATATTTGAATTACTAGTCTATTAGATATGAAGATTGAATTCAAGAAAAAAAAAACAAAAAAACCCAAAGCTTCCTTTTTAAAGATGCTCAAATTTAATATATTCATTATCACTCAAATTATTCAATTAACGAATCAAATAATTTAATATTTAATTTAAAAAGTTTGTGAGAATAATTTTATTTTATTTTAATATATTTAATATATATAAATAATAAAAATATAATATTTAAGAGCAATGTTTAGAATTTTTTAAATTTAATAAATAAAATTCAATTAATTCAATTAAATTATAAATCAAATTTTAACACTAAAAATAAAATTTAATCGAGTTTTAAATTTTTAAATCGAGTTAAACTCTCTAATCTAGTAATCTATTATAGGAATTTGACTTGATTACACACTAGCCAAGCGCATAAAGAAAATTTTCAAAATTGACCTTCAATGCCAAATTGTAATAGGAAGAACAGGCGGATGAGAAATTAAAAACCCAACTCTATTCTACCACCCTCATTATAACTTCATTAATAAGAAAGTAAACACCCAGTCAAATCCCTTTCCACAAGTGCCTGAACTTGAAAAAATGGAAAAAAAATAAATTTTATTAAATTTCCATGACAACCGTTTTCTTTTCAAAAAACCAAGGCCGCCGCCAGGGCATTTCCGTAATACCATCCCTTTCCCGGGCCCTTATTTATATTTAATCTCCTCTTTCCTTCTTACAACACCAAAGCCCCCCGTTACCCCCTCTTCACCACACGCACTCCGTTCCAACAATTCCCATCACCAATCCTCAACTCGCCCGCGACATAGTTCTGGCCACTTACTTTAATAAATTCTTTTAAATTTCCCCTCTTTGTGATCTTATAATTTGAGTTTTTTTTTTTTTGAAGTTGAAGAAAATGGGGTCGGAGCTGATATACAGGGGCCATGACACCCAGCCTGCTTCGGATTCTTATTCACCCAAACCCGTTAAACCATGGGTCTCTGTCAGCCGTCCGATTCGTTACATGCTCCGAGAACAACGACTCCTCTTCGTGCTTGTCGGCATTGGGATAGCTACTCTAATTTTCACTGTCTTCCCAAGCTCACGTGCCCCGCACGTTCCCCATCACCACTTTGCCACCTCGATCGCCGATTCCATCACCTACTTCCCCAGAGAGACCCAGAACAAGTTCTCGTACCCGCATCGCGTTGGCTTCGGGTCGGCCAACCCGACCGGTAAGATTCCACTGGGGCTAAAGCGGAAGGGTCTGAGAATCGTCGTAACGGGTGGAGCCGGGTTCGTAGGGTCCCATCTCGTGGACCGTCTGATTGATAGAGGAGACAAAGTGATCGTTGTCGATAACTTCTTCACCGGAAGGAAAGAAAACGTCTTGCACCATTTCGGGAACCCCAACTTCGAGCTTATACGCCACGACGTGGTCGAACCTTTGCTTTTGGAAGTTGACCAGATCTACCATCTCGCTTGCCCCGCGTCTCCAGTTCATTACAAATTCAACCCCGTCAAAACTATCATATCCTTTTGATATAATACTTAATAAATCCCCATAACTCTGTTTTTGCTTTACTTATTTCTCTTTTAGTATTATGCTTGTGTTTTTCCTTAATTGGGGGTGTGTTTTCTTACAAGACAAATGTGGTGGGGACATTGAACATGTTAGGGCTGGCGAAAAGAGTAGGTGCTAGGTTCTTATTGACCAGTACCAGCGAAGTGTACGGAGATCCTCTTCAACATCCTCAGAAGGAAACTTACTGGGGCAACGTTAATCCCATCGGTTAGCCCCTTTCACCTTTTTTTTTTTTTTTCATTTTTACTAGAAACTCACTTTTTTTAATATCTTTTATCATTTCCAATTTCCCTACTAGTTCCAGTTGTCTTCAATCTGGTGTTGGGACTGGGACTTAGGTTTCCTGGTACACGTTTGTTGTCCTGTTTTTGGAAGTTGGGAGTATTGCTGAAATGGCCTTCTAGAATTCTTAGATCTGGTTGAATTTTTAACGTTTCACGAGGAACCCGTGTTTACCGATCTCTTAAAATCGTACGGCCAACAAATTTTACTATCTATCCTACGACGCACTGAAACGTAGCACATATTTATTACCAGGTTCAGGAAAAAAAAATCGGTCAGGTAATTTTGAAAATGTTAAAAGAAGGAAAACCGTTTTTTTTTTTTTTTCTAGTTTCAATTTTGGTTTTGGAATAGTTAGTAATGGAAATGGCAGGGAGGTGGTGGGGACATTTCTTTAAAATTTGTCTTCTGAATCTGGAATTTAGTGCAAGTTTAGATCTGGCAGGTTGTGTATGTTGTTGTTTGGGCGCGTTTCTCTGTTACATTCAGAAAAATTCATTTCCAAATTTTATTTTTAAGGTTGAAGAAGGGACCAACCAAATTGGTATGAATGTATGATGACAGGTGTCCGAAGCTGTTATGATGAGGGAAAGCGTACTGCTGAAACGTTGACCATGGACTATCACAGAGGAGCTGGTGTTGAGGTTAATAATCTAATCTTAATCTTAATTAATTCATTGTCATTGACATAGCTGCAGACTTTTTAAATTGCAAGTAAAATATATGAGCATTATCTTATTATTTTTTGTAATTTAAAAATCCGGTGTTTCAGGTTAGGATTGCCCGAATTTTCAATACTTACGGGCCTCGTATGTGCATCGATGATGGTCGTGTCGTTAGCAACTTTGTTGCTCAGGTACTCTTTTGATGTTTTAGTAATTTTTAAAATTTTATTTGACAGGGCCAGTTGTATTGTTAGTATGGATAATTAAAATAATGAATGCAGGCTTTAAGGAAGGAGCCTTTGACTGTGTATGGTGATGGGAAGCAGACAAGGAGTTTCCAATATGTTTTTGATCTGGTAACTGATCTTTGTTATTGTTTTATGACTCTTTTCAAATTTTAATTGTCCTTTTTGCTGGAAATGTTGGTGCCATGATGCTACTTGACTTTTTTTCTATTATAATTTTCTTAACCTATGTTTCTTAGCTGTTATAAACGTGCAATTTCTAGCGAAAATTTAAGATTTTGATGGGAAGTTTCATGTGATGCTAAAATTATGCAGTGCACGTGATTTTACAAGGTACATCCTGACATGGTAAAAAAAAAAACATAAAATATGATATTTCGGCATAGGAAATGTTACTATTTGTACGAATGGAGAATTTTAACTGATAGGATCTTCTCTGGTTCTGAATTTTCCTTTGGAGAGTGTACAAATTAATTGAAGAAACATACACCATGTGACTAGAACCAGGTGAATGTCCCAAGTGGACCAGCAAATTTTAATTGCCTCAGAGTTTGGTATGAAGCATGCCTCATTATTTTTTCACTGTCAATGGAACTAATAGTTCTTCCAAACTAGTATTAAACAAATCGTACTCGCCAAAAAAGATGGTATCCTCCTGCTTCCCTTAACGATATCATGAGTGACCTTTTGGGATTTTTTTATTGTCATTTTATATGATTGGCTAGCGTTTTAGATAAATAGTCGGTATTTGCTATTGACTATCTAATGTCTACATTATCTGGGGTAGGCTTTTCCCCAAGAAACATTATTGATGTATTATTACTAATAATTCTGTGTAGATAGATTTGTGGGGTATATCACGTTTTTGTCTTATATCTATACTGTTCTCTCCTCTCTATTTTGATTGTTAGCTTAGTATAGCTGTTCCTGCTCATGTTTGTAAAAATATTCTTGTGATGGAGCAGGTGGAGGGTCTCATGCGCCTGATGGAAGGAGAACATGTTGGACCTTTTAATCTTGGAAATCCAGGTGAATTCACCATGCTTGAGCTTGCTGAGGTAAGCATACTACTCTTTAAATCTGGTTATGAACTGAAAAATAATATAGGTATTGTTTTTCGATGAAAACTGATAAAGCTTCTAAGAAATGTTTTGGTGATAATGATAACAGTGGTTATTCTCTTTAAAAGCATTGAGATCTTAGTTAGAATGATGGGTCTACCATAAAATTAATACTGTGCTCACATTTGATTTCATTGGATTTGGAGTCTTGCTATGCTGTCGAAGACTGACATTCAAGAATGTTTCTCTTAATTGGAAGCGGCACTTGATAACTTTTCTTGTGGAATTAGTAACTTGAGTTATTGGGTGACATGGATGCTGAACACATGGCATCCTTGCTCTCTCCCGCTCTCTCTCTCTCTCTCTCTCTCTCTCTATATATATATATATATATATATATAATTTCTTGGACAGTACTGAGATTTCTCCTGTGAATTTACAGGTGGTCCAAGAAACAATTGACCCCAATGCAAAGATAGAGTTCAGACCCAACACAGAAGATGACCCACACAAGAGGAAGCCTGACATCTCAAGAGCCAAAGAGTTACTTGGTTGGGAACCCAAGGTGTCCCTCCGAAAGGGTCTCCCTCTAATGGTTTCAGACTTCCGGCAACGTATCTTTGGTGACCATAAGGAGGGCAGCAACACCAACAATGCATCATCATCTTAAGGTGGCATATACACTCAAAGAAAGACCAATCAAATATACAATTGTTCAATGGAAAAGGGCTCCCTTTCTTTTCCCCCTTGAAACAATATATGGATACGGGTGGCAGCAGCAGCAAATGAAGTCCCTCTAGCTTAAATGATATTTGTTTGCCATCTTTGTAATTTTCATGTCTCTTATCCCTTAAAGCTTAAATGACTGCGCGTTTGCGAAAATAAAAATAACATTGTACCCAATATTTTTTTTTTGCAGCTGCTTGTGTTCCGCAGCAATAGTCATTACCTTGTGCAGTATTCCCATTTCCCATATTCAAAATCTAAATTTTTCAATCTTTTGTTTGCCTATATTAGTTTGTGTGTCTGAGTTTACCCCGTGCAAGTACAACAAATTGTTCCAGCTCTTTTTGGTCGTTAACTCTTAGGTTTCCTTTTAACCCTTTTTCTTTTCTGTAAGACTTGACTCCAGTTTAATTCCCCTGGATTCATGCAGTAACATGTTACTATGTTAGTAAATTGTGGGAGAATCTTGGTGCGACACTACATTGAATTAAAAAATTCGTTTCACTGAATAAACCAAAACTCTGAATGAAGGACAAGAATATGCATCCAAAGATCATGCCCCGTAGAAATGTCCGACTTTACCTTTGTGAAGGCTCTCATTGTCTCTTCTTCCGTCCCCACCTTTAAGTTGATGTGAATCTGAAAGGGGGCTGCACTTGGGCTAAAACTAGAGTTCGTATGGTATATGGTTTTAGTTTCGGCCTTCAAGTAGTTTAAAGGTCCTCCTTTCGCCTAACTACTATCCTAGTACTCATGGCCCAACCTCGTTACCAGATAGCGTCATAGCCCTTTTTTCGCCTTGTTTAGGACACGTGAAAGTACGTGGTGTAGAGCTTGAAAGATTGGTATTACCGGTCACCCATTGGGCTTCGGGATAGATTTTATACAACACATTGTAGCATTTATGTTGGAGGTCTTAGCCCAATGCTGAGTTGCTGACAAAAGATTGGTTCCTGGACTCAAATTGATTACTGTTGAGAGAAACTTCATATTCCATGTTGTCCTTCACCTCTCCAAAATTGCCGAAAGTCCATGATGAGCAAAAATAAAGGAAACCATTTCAGAAGTCTATAAACTAACTTGGTCTGTCATTCTGCTTCCAAAATCTCTGACGACACTACGTCAACGTGTCATGGCAAATACACCAGCAACAAATCCTGTATAAATATGAAAATGAGTTTAAATCTAGCAGATACTTCCTAATCGCAAGCAGCAAAATTGGTTTCAAAGACACCCTAAAAGCGAAGTCAAATCCTTTTCTTTTTTTTGGCAATTAAAGTAGCATTTAGTTTGATCTTAGAACATCCAATTGTATCATTCAAAAAATTGGCCCAAAATCAACTTAACCTTTAATCACTAATTGACCCGAGCGCATTAATCAAAGAAATCAGTTCAATTATTGCATTGGGAGGTAAATTTGCCAACAGACTTTGCCTGCAATTGAATTTAGGAATTTGCCAAAAAAAAAAAAAACACTTTAGTAACTGATAAAAAACAAATACTAAAAGTCACCGAATATTTATGAATTAATTAAACAAAATTTGTAAACCAGAAATTAAAATAAGATTAAACTTCTTAAGCCTTCAACATTTAGGGTTTCAGCTAACAAAAATGATGAACTTAATATTTCAAACAAATGAAAAATAAAAAATTGATCCAAAATTTAAGATTGTTACCAATTTTACGAGCATCATAATGGTTAGAGATGGAAAAACTGACCCAACAAGCAAAATCCTTCTTATTGATCCAAATCTAACGTTGAATTCAATTTTGATTCGAATTTAAATTGGTTTGAATTCAAATTGATCTGAATTCAATTATTCAAACTCGAGTTGATATAAATTAAATTTCAAAATGATTAGACTTTAAATTTAAGATTGAAATTAAATTGAAAGATTTTCTTATTTAATTTTTGTTGAAATTTTATATTTTCATAAGAAAAAATATCAAAAGATAAAAGGTGATCAATTAATTTTATCAATTTATTATTTATTAATTATTAATAAATATAAGAATTTATTATTAATTTTAAACAAAATATAATTTCGAGGTAAAATAATAAAATAATATTTAGTCATTTTAATTATTAAATATAATAATGTTATAGTTTATAAATAATTAGTATTAAGATTAGTTGTATTAAACACATAAAATCAAATTTTATAACTTCATAGTTAAAAACAAAAATCAAACCAATTAAAGTTATGTCAATAGCCAATAGATAATAGGAAAACATGTCATCTTCATTTTTTATTGTTAATTTGTAATATTTGATATTTAAAATGTCAATTATTTAAATTAGATTAATACTATATTTAAATAATTTTGATATTTTAATTTTGAAAAAGGATCTACTTATATTAGTGTAAGCCTTACACCATTTTTTTTTACTTTTTAATTAAAATGGCTAAGTGTAAGTGTTATACCTTTAAATTTGATCCAAAAGTAAAAAAAAAAAGTATAACATTTACACTAACATAAATGGATAACATAATATGATGGTGAGTTTTTTTATTTTTTAAATTATCTAGTTATTTATTGTATTTCAATTCATTATTATGAATAACATAAACAAATATTATTGTGCATAATGTTAATATGAATTACTAAAAATAAATTAATAGTTAATACATAAAATATTAAAAACAAATATTAAAGATCAATCAATGAAAAAATTATTAGAAAATTTTTAATAAAATTAATTTTATATTTAACGTAACATAATTTCATATTGTTAGCAAATTACTATTAAATCATTTAATTTTGATATAATTTAATTATATTTATTTGGTTTTTGAAGTTAACAAATTAAACATGAATAATTAATGTGTTAGACCCCAAATGATCTAAAGGTTAAATTTGAAACATTCACAGTTAAAATAACATGAGCTCGAAATAATATGATTTTCTTTAAGCTAAATTCTACTTGATCTAAATCCAGATTGATCTAATAAAAAATAACTTAAACCAAACTCGATTTAGTTAACCCATTTGCCATCCCTATATGGGCTGATAAAATCCACATGGTACATCCGTCTGAAAATAGGTCTCAAATGATTCATTTTTTTGGTTTGGTAATGAAAGAAAAGAAAAAGTTAAGTTGATGGATGTCTTTATTGTTTCGGTGCCAAGGAATGTTAAAACGGTAAGGGAAGAGCACGGGGTGATAACGGTTAGAAAAGTGTTTCTGTTGCTAATAGCCCAATATAAACATTAAACTTAGGAGAAATGGCTTTTATATTTTTTAAGCGTCAAGGAGTTTTTGGGGTTTAATCCAGAACATTCCTACCTTGGATCAGTCCAAGAAAATTTATTTATGTTACGCTATGAAATCCACACTCAACCAGGTTCGAATAGAATAGAATAGAATAATATCATACTATTTCAATTTCTATTTCATCATAATAAAAATCATAAGATCGTAATAATTGAATTTTTTTGGTTGACTTTAAAGTTTATTTGGATTGAGGTGAAGGAAAGGAAAGGAAAAAAAAATAAAAGAAAATAATGGAAACAGAAAAAAAAAAATTTTTGGATAAATTTTTAATTTAAAGGAAATAAATGAGGTGGAAATTTACTAATTTTTTTTTTTAATAATCTTCACTTTCTTAATACTTCAATTTGGAAGAAAAGTTAAGGAAAAGAAAGCTAAAAAAATTTTATTTTTGTAACAAGATTATTATATCTAATTTTTTATTAATACCAAAAACCTAGCTAAAAAAAAACTTAATTACATCACAATTTTTTTGTAATTTTTTCAAAGTCATTTTTTTTTCAAATAAATTTCATATATATTTTTCAATATAAAATTTTTTATAATTTTTTAGTGATTTGATTTTGATGAATGATTGAATATGAATAAACACATTTTTTAGGTTTACGAGATGTCAAATTAATTCAAAATTTTTTATTTTTATATGTAATATATTATAGTTTGAGATGTCGGTAATTCTAGGAGATGTTTTATTGAAATACAATTAATTTGACTGTGATTATAAACATGTTAGTACGTTTTCTACACAAACTTAATTGGTAAAAATTAGTTTTATTTTTCTTATGATGAAAATATTTATTTTTTATTTTAGTAAAATAAATTTATGTTGAACAATGATATGGTGATATGTTATTACTTCTTGTTTGATGCAAAAAGGACATATAATTTACTCATATATAATATTTTTATGTGATTATATTTTTTATATTTAATAACTTTTATATGAATATATTGTCAAAGTAATAATGTGTTGAAATTTTGATAATAACTAACAAATTCATCGATGCATGTTTGTAAAAACATCTTCATATTTGTAAAACATATTGTTTCACTTGATTAAAAATTATTAATATAGTAGAATTGTGAAGCTAGATAAAATAACAAATATATTATGGTTCAGAAGTACTCTAAAATTATAAGCAATGAATATAATTAAAAAAAATTATTATAATGAATGATTTTTTTTTATTATTTATCCAAACAATGATTGTTAAATTTTTTTTATTAATTTTAATTATTCAAATAAATGATACATATATATTTTAAATTTTTTTATTAATATTTATTCAAATATAGCGTTAAAGAAAGGAGAAACATTCTAAAATTCTTCACTTCGATTTTGTGGAGAAGAAGAAGTCAGTTCATTTCGAACCCCACCTCAGAAGCGGAACTATTGGAGACCTAGGAGACCCCTACAGAACAACTTCTTTCAGACGGAGAAGATTCCGAAATGGAACAAAGTAATAAAAAATTATTTTCATGCAATTTCTTAACAGATTCAATCTCAAACATAAAAAAAAAAAGCACACTTTTTTTTTTGTCACTTAACCAACCATTCGTTGAAACACATTTTTCTTTACTCGTAAAGGAAAAAAAGAAAAAAAAGTTTTGAAACAACTTTATTTAAAGGGAAGATTTAGATGAAAATATTTAGGTTCCGTTTGATCATTAAAAAACAACATCCAGAAAAATAAAAGATTTTCCTTAAAGATAATTTTTTGGAAAAGAAATAAATTTTTAGTGTTTGGATCACTTCAGAAAAATATTTTTCAGTGTTTGTTTCAATGGAAAACAAAAACATTTTCTTCACTATTCATTTTCTCTTTTAAATCTTTCTTTAACTCAACATACTAATTTTAAATACATAAAAATCCACAAAATAAACATAATAAAATAACCAAATAATAATATTTGAGAAAAAAAAAGACTTTTTTCAAATACCCATAGGCTACAAGATTAACTTAGAGATTGAAGCTTAAAAATGGAGATCATGGGGGATAAAGAAAGCTTGTGGAGAAGAAAATGATTTTTATAAGATCTTGTGAGCTTTCCCGTTGCTGCTATGGGAATGTTAAGAGCTTTCTTGTCTTTTTTGTGGCTTATTATATTTGAAGGAAGAGAAAAAATCAAGGAGAAATGAGTTTAGAATATAGATTTGGTGTAAGAGAAAGAAATTAGGGCTTGTCTGTCGGATTTGTAAAGATTATAAGCTAAAATGTTGTAGCTACGCTTGACCATTGAGAGAAGGAGAGATGTGTTGAGCTGGAGGAAATTGTTTTTGGGACTAAAAGAATGGAAGACAATTTGTCTCAAATGAGCATTGTTAGCTTTTGATTAGAAATCAATTTTGGTCATCCAAACACACAAAAAAAAAAAGGAAAAAAAGAAGGAAAATCATTTCTGGAAGTGATTTTCCATTATGCTAAATGGAGGCTTAGGTAAATTTATAAAATTTCTTATTAAAACAATTAAATTAAATTTAAAATCAAAAATCAAAATTAAAAAATTATATTAAATAGATTAAGTGTGTAAAATTTTAAAAAATTTTGATATATTTTTTAGATAGATATTTTTAATAAAAAATTTAATAAAAATTTTATCGTTAAATAAATACTGATCAAATTTCAATTATAAATGATATTTTTAATATTTATTTTTTATATATTATTGATATTTACATTGAATTCTATCAATTTATTAATTTAAATCTTTTATTAAAATTTTTATTAAATTATTTTTTAAAAAAACTTTCACAAATTTTACCTAAAAACTTTCATATAGAATATCCACAAAACCATAAACTAGTTGATTATTCGTTTTGTTTTTATTGAAATTTTGCTTAATTTATTTTTAAATAGTTATATTTTTTAGATGATTAAGATATGTTTGTATTTAAAATTTTAAACATGTAATACAAATTGATAAAATTTTATATTTGATTAATTTTTTAAAATTATTTTAATTTATAAATCTTTCAAAACATAATAAAACTATGTTTTTTTCTTAAATTTTAAACATATAATATAAATTAATAAAATTATATATTTTATTAGTTTTTTAAAATTATTTTAATTTATAAATCTTTCAAAAAATAATAAAACAAAAGAATAAATAAAACATAAGAAAAATATAATGCATAAAAAATTTCATAATTTTTTATTATGTGTCCTTTAGCATTGGGTTCACTATAATTATAGATAGATTAAAATGTAAGATGAAGTAAACAAATTTAGAGAAGAAAATAAAAAAAATTAAAAAATAATCTAAAATTTTCTCTTAATTTTTAAGTTGAAATTGATCTTGAATTTATAAAAACTTTTAAATCTATATTTGATTAAGAGTAATTGGGCTGTAAAAGGGGATTTTGGGTTGGATCATGGCAACAGCTACTCCTTTTCATTTTGTTCTTTTTTTTTAAATTTTTCAGCCCAAAAGCTCAACCCAAAAAAGAGCCCAAAATCCACCCAAAATACCACGTGGCACTCATACTTGATCCCTAAAAAACCCTAGAGTCAGGAGCCAATATATTTTGCTAGACTCTGCTCAAAGCATTTGTAACTTCACGATCTTATATCTTCGATACGCAGAGGCGGCTAAGGTGCTTTTCCTCTACACTCCTTCCTCTCTGTATTTTTTTTTTCTCTTCTTCTATTTATTGATCTGACTCATTGAAAACGCAGTGAATTGGTGCGAAGATGAGTCGTGGGGCAGCAGCTGGACCCAAGTGGAAGAAGAAGGGAGCGTCCTTTACCATCGACTGTACTAAGCCGGTTGAAGATAAGATCATGGACATTGCTTCACTGGAAAAGTTCCTTCAGGAAAGGATCAAGGTCGGTGGCAAAGCCGGTGCTCTTGGCGACTCCGTCACTATCGGCCGCAACAACTTCAAGATCAACGTCTCCTCTGACTCCAACTTCTCCAAGCGGTACGGTTCCTTTTCTCATCTGATATTTTAGTTGCGTTATGAAACATTTGCGCTGCATCTCTGAACTTTTGGATCTTAAAAATGGTTTGTATTTTAAGCAAAATGTTGGAACACTTTTTAACTTTATGGTTAAGGTCGATGATGACAATTCTTAAGGCTTGTTTCTCGAAACATTCGCAGTGGCCGCCTAAGAGCTTTCGCCTTCGCCGGGCTTGAGAGCTACTGCTGTATTAATCCTTCCTTGGATGTCTGAGGCCTTTATGCTGTTGCCTTTACTTTTTTTGTTGTGGCATTTGCCTCTTCCAGAGGGTATATAAATTTAATTGAATCTTGTAAGGCAATGACTTTTTTGTTTGCTATATAATTTGAATTGAGTCTTATAAGGCAATGTGTTTTGTTTATTACGTAAATAACTTAATAACTTTAGCTGCTTAGTTTTGTGGCTAAGACAGGATGAACATTTAGTTTTAAGGTCAATGGAGACATTTCTTAGGGTTTGTTTGTCAAAACATCCTTAATGGCTGCCTGAGGGCTTTCGCCTTCACCTTCGCCAGGCTTGGTTTTTGGGTAGTTTGTTGCTATTTTGCTCTTATAAAGCGGAAAAAACCATCTTCTGATTTTAAAAGTTGAGTTGAGTTTTAGTTAATGGTTTCTTCCACTTTTGTTTGGTTTTTAGGTATCTGAAGTATTTGACCAAGAAGTACTTGAAGAAGCACAATGTTCGGGATTGGCTTCGGGTGATTGCTTCTAACAAGGACCGTAATGTTTATGAACTCCGCTACTTCAACATAGCTGAGAATGAGGGTGAGGAGGAAGAATAAATATCAGTTTTGTCATTTCTCCAGTTACGTCTCTGGTTTATTAGTTGTGAGGAACCTCATTTATCTATTTCAGGTGTCAAATATTTGAACTTTTTGGGTTGTTTTTTGACCCTTACTCTATTTTCAATGAAGTTTTGGTTGCTGATAGTTAAATTTTATGTTAGTCTGTCAGATGCAATTAAAAGGATGCATATATATTTCTTGAATTTATTATAAGAGCTTTTAATTGATCTTCCTCCTTGGTTTTTCTAATTATATATGGCCTCTTCATTGCTTACTAGCTATAGGAATACATTTTGTTGGTCATGGCTGCCCGTTTGTGTTAGTATTTTATCTATAGTAAATTGGTACTAGACATGAAATTCTTTCTTAGATGAGTTGGCAGAGCTGAATGCTGTGGTCATAGCAGGAATGAAGCCTTGACCTAAATTGGTTAATTATGTGTAACTATGCTTGCGGGTTGTGTGCTGTGATGATTGTCAGGTAGAAGACTATTTTAGCTTCTGTGATCATAAATAAGACAGTTTGAGTGGAATGATGTTGAGATGGAAGAGTGTATGTTGGTTTAACTATCACTGACACTGGAGAGGCACTGATTTGAAGTTCTGTGGCAGCCCTTAGTTCACTGGCTAATATCCTCCATTGCCCCCCCTATAGGCAATAGCCGACAGGGTATTTGATTAATGGCTGAATGCTGTCCAGCATTATCTTGGACCAATCCCCCATAAAGACTTATACCATAAACTAATTTAGTTAAACGATCCAGCAGGTTAATCATGGAATCAATATTAGGGAATGTGTTTTTTGAGGGTCTTGTGTGGTTTTTTTTTTCAATTCATCTTCTCTTAGTAAACTTTGGTAGGGTTTTAATTATGAACTTGATGAATGAAATTCTAGTAAATCATGAGAAGTCAGCTATACGAGTGCTAATGTTGTTTTTGAAAATAAGCATGAAAGCTTCTCAGGATAATGATTGAAATTAAAATATTCTGTTATCCTTTGTTTTTGGTTAAAGCCACTGACCATTTCTATTGCAAGAGGATACCATTTCTATTGCAAGAGGATACAAGGCGAAACTGGCAAGACTTCCAGCTGTTCTACTGTAGCAAGCTAGCTTTTGCTAGGCTTATCTTACCTACTCGTCCAGCTCTTCATTTTTTGCTCACCCGATCCTTAAATCCTTAATATGGAGCACTCTCATTCAAGGCAATGCCCAGGGTAACCATGTCGCCTCCATTCTCTATAGACATTCGTATGCAGTTCCATGGTGTTCTGCCCCATTTCCACACTTCCGCTTCCCTCCTATTATCATTCAAATCCCCTCTCGCTTTCTCTCAGGTAAACAAATCCATGGCCAAACTATAGTTTTCGGTCTCGTCTAAGACCAATGTGTCCAAACCTCTCTCGTCAGCCTGTACTCGTCTTGTGGCAACTTAATTGTTTCCCGTCAAGTGTTTGATGAGATCACCCAACCTGATGTAGCGTCACGAAATTCCATTATTCTTGGTTTCTTTCATTACCAGCCTTCGAACTCTGCCCAGAGAGATTAAATGTCAAGCACATGCCTATGTGAAAGTGAGTTTGATTCAACCTCGATTAATTTATATAATCATTTTAAAATTATTTTAAAGAGATAATATTTAGTTAATTTATATAATTATTTTTAAATTATTTTTAAAAGATAATATTCAGTAAATATGAAATTTAAATTTTATCTCTTAATTTTATTTTTTTAATTTTTAGATTGCGATCTTCCATGGAAAAAAAAGCGTTTCATTGGTTTAGCAGGGAGTTTATTCTGTAAAATGCTGGAGGCGTGAGAAATATAAAGAATCGCTTGCATGGTATTAGTAGTATTTTCCAGGCTTCTTATCCCATTTTAAGGACCTTTACTTGTAATGTCATACTTATTTTTATCCATTTTTTAAAGTGATAGTAGATAAAATTCCAAGACCACATTTCCTATTGCGGCATTAACCTTACAAAACTCATAATATTTCGTTCTTTCTTTTGAGCAAAAGGTTGAGAAGAAAATAAAAAGGCATGAACAAATGATTAGAAGGGAACTATGAGATCTATTATTCACATGAGGGCAGATAAAACAATGGGCAAACGGCCACAACTAAGACTTATTTACCATATTAAAGCAATTATATTAGGAGACCAGAACAAGAGTTCAACAAGGAGACCTGCCTTTTGGGCACCCTATTCCACCATCTAACAGCTATACAATGAAACTCCATTAAGAATTCAGAGCAACCGTCACCCTAAAACAATTATCCTTCTCAACACCAATACAAATTATTCTTTGCTTAAGCAAAGGCACCTGAACAAGCGGTGGCAGGAGCAGTTCCAACCTTTGCAGAGATGTATTTCTTGGTAATGAATCTAAAAAGGATTATGTGCAGTGAAATATTAGCTTGATCGGTTTGGAGAAAAAGCGGAATTGTTACTACTAAGGTGAATCAAGGCCATATTTACCTGCAGAAATCCCTCCACAACAACTCAAACATCAACCAGTTCATTCCAGCATCAGGTGAGCCACCACCACCGTTATTTTTCTTTGAGATAGCAGAAATGGTCCTGTCAATCATATCAATGTATTCAACTTAAGTAAATATTTGATAACTTGAAATTATTTACACAGCAACCAAGTCTTCTCTGACGACACGAGGTCTGCAACATGGATCATACAGCTCCATTGTACTCTGTTGTGGACATATCCACAATAAGCTCAATAATTTATAAAAGGAAAAAGGGTACTTGACAGCATACCTATTTGCAGTTTTCTTTAGCTCATCAAAACATGGAACGGAGAGATAGGCATCCCATGGCTACCCATGGAGAAATTTTGCAAGAAAAGTTAGCACCATATATGCTATCCAGGTTACCATCCTCGACCCCCTTGTGTGGCTGTGGTTGACACTCAGCTGCAAACTTTTTAAGCCTCTGCAATGCTTCATTCTCCCCTCCAACCATAGAAGCATTAACAGTTCGTCTACCATCCTACATGAAAACTAACAATACTTTTTTAATGTATTTAAAGAATCATAATAATAAAAAAAAGATTCCTGAGTATGCATTCGAAATAATAATCATTGAAACAATCATAAAGCACCGCCTAACATTGCTAATTGAATTCAGTCTAAATGAGTTATTACATCCCGTAGCATTGGTTAGCTGCGATCTCTAAATCAAAACTTCTTATCAAGTCGTAGCATTGAAGATCAGGCAATGATAATGAGCAACCTGACATTGATAATTCAAATTACACAATCCAATCAAATCATATTTCAGATGTGAGTACCCCTACTGTTTATTTTATTTAAAAGCAAAATGCAAACATAAAGGAAGATATATACCAAAAATCCAAACCTGAGTCATCGTGGCAGTGGGGTTAAGCCCCAGATCCGTCAACGAAGGAATATCTCCAGTTTCCACGTCACCTCTTGAAGACATCCATTTTATTTGGTCCAATGCTTTAATCGTCTTCCTTATCTTCCAACTTAAACGGCAAATCATCAACATGGAACAATGTACTTCCCCGAAAGTACTTCACTTTAACTCCCTCTTCTTTCATGGTCGCCTAAATCTTTTCCTCAGCCTTAACCTTGTCATGAGAAACTTCTCTATGAGCATAAATATCGTCATCCCCAATAGCTTTAGAATAACTCCACTAGAACACTCTCCGGTTTCCCAATTCGGACCAGAAGACCCGACCCTCTTTCTTCCAGATTCTTTCGGAGATCCAAAACCGATTCAATCAAGAATGTGGCTCTGTAAGGACCGGTTTTATCGAACCCATCTCAAGGGTCAAAATAATAAACTGGCAAAGCCGAAATGGACTGGTTGTTGGCCGTGTTGAGACACTCGTTGTCGTGGACTCGTAAATCGTTACGTAACCAAACGATGGAAGCACGACGAATTGCGGTGCCATTCGAATAGCTGTTATGTATTGTGGGTTATAATTCATGAATTAAAAGATTGGCATGTATATGCACATTTTGGGGTTACGAAGGACAAACCTAATTTTTTTGCTCTCATATCTCTTTTTTATCTTAATCTTTTTATCTTTTGTTTATTTCTTTTTTCTCTTATTTAGATTAACTCTTGATTAATTCCATAGCATCATTCTATTACAAATCTGATATCATAGCCTATTAGATCTACCTTCAATCTAGAAAAACCTAAAAAATAGTAAATCATAATTGACAGAGCGAAACTGGATGCTCTACAAGAGCAATTCCAAGTGATGCAAGGGTAGCTTGAGTCTCTAACGATTGCTGACTCAACAGTTTCAATGTGGTGGGAAGAACAAAGGAAGTTTATTGAGTCCCAATTTACTGAAAATCATGAACTTATAAGCCAAGTGCTTGAACTGTTGGATCCTAGAAAGACAATTGAAACTCAACCAGAATCAGAAGGGATGACTAGCAACCGACCATCTGTTCCTATTTCTCAGTCTAAAAAGAGAGGTAAGGCACCTGTCGAAATCACAATAATAGATGATTATGGAAAATATGCTTATAAGCCTAATGGAGTAGGATTGTTAGCTAGTAAACAACATGAAATCAATGGCAATACCTTTCAGTTTAATACTGAACAGTCTAAACATGCTTTCATTTTTTGTAGTAATTCTTCAACTGTTATGAATGCATTTACACCTAAACCTAAGATTGAGTTGTCGGTGTTTGATGGAAGCAATCCTAGGGGTTGTCTTAAAAAATGCCAAAAATACTTTGCCATATTTTCAATCTCTGATCATCAGAAATTAGAGATAGCTACTATGTACTTAGTAGAAAAGGCTAAGGTGTGGTTTGATGGATATCTTATGCAAAAAGAAAGGGTAACATGGTCTGAGTTTACTAATGACTTATGCCAAAGGTTCTATGACAAAACCTGTTCTGACATAATAAAGGAGTTCAACAAACTAGCCCAAAAAACTACTTTGAATGAATATCAAGAAAGATTTGAAGAGTTAAGACCTTATATGTTGCAATATAACCAATACTTGACTAAAGGGTACTTTGTTTCTAGCTTTATCAATGGACTCAAGGATGATATCAAGCATAGTGTAAAGGCTAATGAACCTAGAACCTTTACTGTTGTTTACAAATAAGCTAAACTGCATGAACTATCACTTGAATTTGAAAATAAGAGACACAAGTAGACTACCAAACCTATGTTTACCTCTAATATTGGCTCTTATCTTAAACCTATTCACATTTAACCAAA